CTGCCGCCCGCCAGGACAAAGATAACGATTAGAACAGGACGGAACAGGACAGAAAAATTTCTCGCGTGAATTTTCTCGTTCTATTGTTATTCATATTTATTAAGCAACTATCACTTTCGACGGGTCACTTTTTAAAAGTCGACGTATTTGGTGATTGATAGGTATCGCTATGAGAATGAATTATAACACTAATGAAAATATTGGTTGAAAAAAAAAGGCACCAATTAAATGTAGTCATTGATGATTCAGAAATTTTACGTTAGAATATAAAGAGAAAGCAACAAGAAATAAATGTTCTTTGTTTTTTCGTCTTGAACGTTTTTTAGTTTGTATTTCATTTGTTTCCATTTATTCATTCTCAAAATAAATATTCAGCATAAGGTTTAGTAAAGTTTCATCATCGTCGATCATATTATATTCCTCAAAATTGAACAATTATCTCAATACGAAACAGAAATATAATATTACAAAGAAGAATTCTCAGCAGCATTAATAGATCTATCAAAATTCTTTGGTTATCCAAGAAAACTAACTAAATACGGTGTATTTCAAAGAATGACAGGATATATTATTTGTTTCAATCTTCATAGTATACATTCATTCATTCATGAAAATAGTTGTATTTTGTGATAAAACTCTATGCTGTTGGTGCTTTTCATAGACAGTATCTAGTATTAAATTACAACGAATCATGGTCATTGTTTTCTACTTTTCTTTTCATGAATGCGCCAGCAAGATATAAAATTAAGATTTTACTATATTTTGTTCTACCTATCAAATAAGTGATGATATATAGTGTATTTTCAGTATTTGAGAAAAATAAATAATAAATTAGGTATAATATGAATGATACTAATATTTACTTTGATAAACGACATGGACGTACCTGAAGAAAAAAGGTTAGGGGAATCCTAAATATACACCTCTGTACTCGACCGCAGGATAAAGTTCTTACATTTAGATTTCAAAACAAACGTTCTGGCGCAGTTTTACTATAGCAATCCAGTACTGTTCAAAACTTGGATGCGTGGGACCTCCTTATTTCCTATCAGCACAGTTCTGACCAATGATAGTCAGATTAGGAAATCGTGATCGACTCTCTGTCGCTCGAAAAAATAAAATGAATTAGCAAAACAAACTAGGAAAAAGTTTTCATTATGCTCCTATCACTCTGTAGAACAGAAAAAGTCAGCAGGACAAACCAGGACAGGACGCAGTTTTGATTTTTGTCCTGTACTGTCGCCCGTCAGGACAGAGCTGGCTAGCAGGACAGGACAGGACATGACGAAAAATCTTGTCCTGTGCTCATCTCTGTTTCAAACTAGAAAAATTAATTATAAAAACGAAGTCAGGATTTCTTAGCTACCCTTCATAAATCATCTAAACATTGAAATTCAATCAACTAAAAAGAATTCTCTTCTTGTTTGTACCAATGGCATTTTGTTGTAATGCCGTTCTTTTGTTTTTCTTTCTTTAATGTATTTGTACCATCGCGAGAAATGTATAATGCATGATGCATATAAATGGATGTGATTCGAAAGAAAAAACAATAACGTATCGTATAACTAACATAGAAAACAATGCAAGGTCTATATGAACAACATTCATCAATGTTGAATAAAATCATGTTTTCTTTTCTTTACTTATCGGTATAACTTGTCAATCAAATTCTTGATCATCGAAATAATTTCACTATTCTATGTTCCATGAGAAATATGTGCAAGCGACTAAATAGAATCGTCGGCAGTTACTATCGTTATAAGATAAATATTTTTAAAATCATAATTGTTTACTCTCTTCATCAACTTCTGAGTTATTTCTCGTTACTATAATCTATAATTAAATCTCTAGAGTTTAATAAGATATTAGTGAACATACAAATTGTATGAGACATGAATTGATGTATCATATATCTCTTTCAAAAATTCATTATCGTATTACCGTTTGTTTTTCGTTCTTTTACTCTTGGACTCCTGGTGTTTTTTGTGTAAATCAATATCTTTCTCAATCACATGTCGTTCTCTAAAGGTGGTCGTCATGAAAATGCATGACCTTGGTTATTAAATTCGATGTTTACTATCCAAGGAAGAATGTTCTTTATTATTCCTGAAAATAAATAGTTGCAGTCGATATTTCGAATACACTGTTTCTATAAAATTATATTTTTCAAAAGACCTATTTACATATTCTGAAAGCTTGTGGAGCTTTCTACCACCCTATATTTTTATACTTTAGTTTTTTCTCATCTATTACTAAAATAAATAGAGTACAATGAAGGCATCCTCATATTCAGATATTTACATAGTTGTTTTTCTCACATATCAAAATTTGTTTCTTACATTTTTTATTAGGATAAAATTATCATTTTCAAAAAAATTAATCATACACATTGCTAGAGCACACAACTCCTTATCATCTTATACGCCAACTTATTTTTTCTTCCATTCAAAAATTGCAAAGGAGTACAGTTCTACTTTTTATCCATTCTGTATATTCGTTATTACTCAATCAGTATGTAATGGAATTTGCGTAGTTACTTTTTTTTCTCATTTTACTTACTCAGTGTGCAAGTTTTAGAAGCGCTATTTTTATTTTAATATAAATTGTTTCTTTTTACACAAATTATTTTTGTTTTTCTTCATGTTGATTTGAATGATATCGAATGAGAATAAAACTATTTACAAGTATTATATGAAAATATATGTTGACAATGATTTACACACACCTTATCTTTCTTTTAGAAAATAATTCACATAGGTGAAGAATAAAGAATCTTGAAATGACCACTTCATCTGAACATGTGTCAATTCACATGCCCAAGTATGAGGTAAAAATAGTATGAATTTTTATTTTATTATTAATATAAATAATTATTGCTTCGAAAAATAGGCAATACCGATTCAATTTGATTCTCCAACACGTGATGCTTCAATAGATATCGCTGATATACAAAATTATATTCGTGAGGTATTTTCAAGAAGATTAATGTTTTATTTTGTTCTCTGTGACGGGTGCTCCAGAATAGATGTCCCGTTTTTGCATTCTATTTATTCATCATTTATTTTATCTTATTAAAAAAACAAAATGCAACAAAAGATGCAGCGTGAAAAGCTGTACACTTCACATATGACTACTTTTCTTACAATTGTACTTTTTATTTTCAAAACAGACGAAATTCAGAGTAATCGAATTTCAACAGTGTGAAAATTAGTAGCAGAGAATCTTGTCTTTTTTGAAAAGAAATACAATAAATTTACATATGTAAAGTGTAGAGTTTTCCATGCTGAATCTAGTGAAATATTCCATTTTTTTTAAATAAGAGATCTCAGATGACAAAAAAGTGAAATAAGGAAAAAAGAATATATTTTAAATAGAAAAATATCATTTCCGCATGGCCGAAATTCGATCGATTATCAGATTTTGAAAACAAAAACTACAACTATGGAAAAAATGGTCTTATGTAAAGTGTAGAGCTTTTCAAGCTGTACCTTTTTGTATATTTTCCTTGTTTTTAAATAAAAACGTATTAAATGAGAAGTAAGGGAAAAATCATTTTGATTATTTATTGACCTACGACTTTTTCGTAGCATCAAAATCTGGCCACTCAGAGTCTTAACTACTTTGAAAGCAAAAGATGCAACTGCAAGAAAAGTGACCTTATGTAAATTGCAGAGCTTGTCACACTGTATCTTTTGCTATATTTTGGTTTTTTTAAAATGAAGATATAAGGTGATGAAAAAATGAAAAAAGATAAAATGAATTCATCGTGTGTTAGTTTCTCTTTATTCAAAATCTCCTGCCCACTAAATGTTAATAAAGCTGGAAGGAATCAAGAGAATCAGGATCTGTATTAGCTAGGTTAGTAGTATTAGTAGTCCTACTTGAACTTGTAAATCCATATGACGGACAAGGAAACATAAATCCGGATGATGAATATGTATTTAATTATGTAATGCAAGTGGTCACAATAACAACAATAGTCAACTTAATATTAACAAAAGAATCATATCAACTGAACTCTATCAAAGAGAAAAATCAACTGAACTGGAGAAAGGCTTGTTAATAAGGCTGAACCAAAGAGAGAGAGAAGAAAAAAAGATTTATATGTAAATATATATATATACTGTGTGTTGGGAAAATATCGAAAATCAAACAGTTTTCACTGTTTTTCAAAATATATATTCTAGGCTTTATAGTAGAATGGATTATGACGCTAAGTCTTAAGGAAAGTGCCTTTTATACTGTCTTTGTATGACTATATGTCAGTGCTGAAGTGTGACCAATTAGAAATAAGGGGCGATTGTTTATAATTGGCTGGTGCCAGTTACAGCGTATCGTACATTGCAATCACTGCGACGTAGTTGGGTGTAACTGTGTCGCAATAAGCATAGTTTCTGACAGAAGTCTTCAATGTGATCGATGCGTCGCAGTTACGCGCAATTGTGTTGCAAAATGGCTACTACGCGTGACTGCGGCGTAGATACTAAAATAGTGGTGACATGGGTGCACCGTTGAAATTTGATTACTCCGGATTTCGTCTGTTTTGAAAATAAAACGTACAATTGTAAGAAAAGTAGTTGTATGTAAATTGTACAGCTTTTCACGCCGCATCTTTTGCTATATTTTTTTAATAAGATAAAACAAATGATGAATAAATAGAATGCAAAATTGGGACATTTATTCTGGAACACCCGTTATATATATGTGAATTTTTGTTGAATAGAAAGCAGAGAAAAAATTGGAACAATGTAATTATTTTGAAGTATCATTACCACCATCAATAACTGGTATTACTGGCGAATCTAATCGAGTAGGTTAATGTCAATATAATAAAACAATTGAGTAATCATTGTTAGTTTTAGATTAAATTTAATTCATTATTTCAAACTCCAACATTAGATGAACTCGAAACTCTATCATCTAATCCAGATGGATCACCAAAGAAATTAAATGAAGAACAACTTAGAGCAGTTAAACAAACAGGGTAAACTGATATTAATAACAAATAATATTATTACAAATTATTTAATATAGAGAATTTGAAGTAAATAGTATTTATTTTCCTGGTCAACGCCATCGATGGAAATTGAATAAATTACTTCAATCAGGTGTTCAATCAGCCGGTGACGTACTTCATAAAGTTAGTTTAGTCTTAAATAAATTATTTAATTTCTATATTGTTTTTTCTGCAGGAATTATCATGGGCAATTTATATGTTGATAATGTTTGCTCGAGATCGTATTTGTTCGGATTCCTTTAGTTTTGAAGCAGCCCTACGTTCATGGAAGCAAGGTTTTGCTAGTTTAATTGGTCAGTTTACATTTTTTTTTCGAGTGAATAAATTTATATTAAAACATATGTTTATTATAGATGCTTTTATTGGACTACCTGCAATTGAATCATCTGGTATCGATTTACAAGTAGAAAATGAGCGAAATAAATTTTTAGTTACTGAACTTTCACCAGCTGTAAAAAAAACTTCAAAAAAATTTATTTAAAACAAACTTAAATTCTTTTTAAATTTTTTGAATTAGGAAAGTGAAAAAGAAATGCATGAAAAATTTTGTGCACAAATACCAATTTTATTACAAATAATGACTGAACATCAAAAATATGAACGTCGTCAAAATAAAGTATCGTATATTGATTACTAAAAATATCACATATCTTAGAAAATCAGGTGAATTTCAGGAATATTATATTCATATATTTGTTTTACCTTGAATGTTATTCGAAAGAATGAAAAGAAAAATTCAAGGTAATGAAAACAAATATTTCATCCAAAGAAATTCTTCTCTTACAAAACCTATGAATCATATAGTAAAAAGGTTTCACATATTTTACATAATAAAGAATAAATACTTAAAACGTATTTCTCATTAAACATCCAATCTGAATTGTGTTATATTAAATGAAACACATCGGATTGATCATCATAGATGTGACTGAATTTAAGTTTAAAATCGATTCATATATTAAAAGATAGACAAGTGGAAAATTTTACAGAATAATTAAGTTGAATGTCTTAAAAAGAGCGTTTTATTATCGAAATATACTGACTTCGTCATTGCATGATGTAAAGAAATTTGACAATATTGTCTTCGATCTGAATGATTCAAATTAGAATATTGAAAGTCTACTGATATTGTATAGTAATTGTGTCGATAAGTATATAAAGATAGTCTACTCGATTCAAACTTTTTTTGTTTTTAAGAAGAATTTGTTAGTTCTAGAAAATAGATTATATTATAAAAAGAATTTACTTAGAAATATATGTTTGTAGAAAACTGAATAGACACAAAATGCCTTCGTGATGAGTTAGAGTTTAAGATTATAGGAATAATTGAATTACGAAAAGGTTTGAATTAGCTTCCATGAAAAAAAAACATTGGATTAAGAGTAAGACTAAAGATAGATTATAATGACACTCTTATAATTTTCCATCTTTAAAAAATAAAGACAGATTTCGTTTAATTTTCATTGTCCTTTGTTTATGTTAGATTTCTCAAAAGTGTTATTATACAATCTATTTTTATATGTGACTTATACGAAGATAATGTAAATAAATTCAAAGTATTTAGAAATTCTACTAAAATATCGATTTGTAAATCATGATCCATTCTTTACAGACTCAATCACTTAAAACTCCTTTGCTCAGTGTTTCTGAATTTATCAAAAATGCGTTCACTGATTAATCGAATATCTTGAGAAAAGTTTTCAATGTCAATACAGATTAAACTAAAAATGTCAGGAACTATGTCATTAAATATGAAAGAAATCCGAGCTTCAACCAACGATTGGATTTCAGGTGTCGATGGTATAAATATCATCTCATCATCTCGATATCTAAAAGTCATTTAGGAAAATTAAGAACTGTGAATAGCTCAAATATTTCGTTTTAATTTGAGTGTTGGAAAACGAGACCAAATAGAAGATTCTTTTATTATTGAGGTAATAATGGAACATCAAGATCTTTTTCTAATAACGAGCAAAACTTGTGGAAAATGATTTCCTAGCACAATCATCTTTCTAAAATTTATTTAATTGTATTATATACTGTTCATTTTTGTTGTCTCCTATCTGTTTTGTAAAAAGAGAATTTGAAGTGATAGTTCAAAGTTGATTTTAATTTCTTTATTTGTTTTCTTTTCTTTTATATTGATTCTATTTTCGATTTGTCTAATTTATGTGGCGTAAGGAATAAATAGTTGGTCGAGAGTTAGTAGCGTAAATAAGAAAGTTAAAGTTCTATTATGTATTTTAGCTGTACCTATATAGACAAAGAAAAATCAAGTATAATTGATACATATAAATATTATATGTACATAATGAATATGAAGATATGACGCGTACTACCCTAGTCCATTCTCTCCAACGAAATTACCCGAAAATTTCCTGAAATATGCGAAATTCTTGGAGAATCGCTGTCATGAGTGCCTGGAAAAGTTGCATATCTCCAGAACTCCATAAAACTCCTCGGATTGCCCCTTTAAAATATTGATAAATTTGAGTTTTTCAGAGAATTTCAATGATAACTTGTAGAGAGATCTCAATAATACTTATCAATATGAAAGTTCCTGAAGAAGAACTGCAAAATAGTTGTAAACTATAATATAGATATTATTATTTTCTTAGGATACTCCACCTCCTATGCTTCCATATCCTCATCATTTTGTAACACCAGACAATATTGATATTGATCTTCGATTACATAATCATGATCTTCAAGCTAAAATAAAATCAATTGTTAGCTCTCTTATTTCTAAAAGTACACCAAAAAATTGGTTTGCTACTACGAAACGAAAATTAATTAATCAATATAAAAGTAAATTTTTGTTGTCAAGTATTCAAAATGCTTCTCTTATCTTAATCTTAGACGAACAAGTCGAATTAGGTTTGTCAAAAGAAGAAATAGCTAAACGAGTTCAAAACCAATTAAATATTGAATATACTGAACGAGTATTTGAAACTATTGAAAATTCTCGTGAAATTGAAAAATTATCACCTGGTCTTGGACGCTTATTAGTTGCACAAGCTCGTTCAATATTAATAATGAAATCAATTGCTGAAAAACTAACTGAAGATTTAGAAAATCATCTTAAAATGGTATTTAGTTTTTGTTTCTAATATGAATCTAAATTACATCAAAAAAAATTTAGACACGAGAAAAATTAATTCGTGAACATCCAATAAAATCAAAAATTACTCGTTGGATTGATCAAAAAATATTTGAAGAAAGAATCAATTATATGCATCATCATGAATGGGATCCACATCAATTAGCAATTGATCAATGTAAATCATTAGGATATCAACAAGCTGCATATTTTATTGAACGAGATTATATATTTCGAAAAGATGTAATGATAAATAATATTTCTAATTTTAGTATATCAAAGATTATTCTTTTCTATTAGTATGAATTAAATCTTCGTCAAAATCTCAAACCAAAGATTGAACCTGTTAAAACAATTCAATGTACTCGATTCATATGGTTGCCAAGTAAACATAAAATCAAAAAATCTATTTGTTTTAGAAATATTTTTCTTTCTTCTAAGGAAATTATATTGTTGAGCGAACATATCCATTACCTGTCGAACGAATTCCAACATTATTTTCTAAACACAAATATACAGTTGAAAAAGAAGAGGCACGACAAAGATTGATTAATTCTGATGTAAAATATCTTTATCTTTCTTTTAGTTCTTTTACACTCTATAGGTTCTTTTAGTATTTTTTTCAAAAGGCTTTCAGAATTTTTCAACAATCAAAATATTATTGGAAAATTGTTGAAGTATTTTTTAATAATTGTAGAACTTTACTGAAGAAAAACATTATCATAATAAAAAATCATTACTTTTATTTTCGAATCTTGTAAAATAGATAGTTTAGATATTTATATTCTTGAAGAGAAACATATCAAATCTCAGCGAAGAGTTTATTGCAAGTTTTTTTTTTGAAATCTAAAACCATTTACTTAGTTATCTATCTTCGAGATTGAAGTAATACTGAACGAGTATATATTTCGTATTAAGTGTATATCAGTCGGAAAACAAGCTAATATTATTCAGATTGCATGGTTAACTGATCTTCTGCCTTGATTTTCGTTATTTAAATTCATGTTGTTTTGCATAATAAAAATTTTTAATGGGATACATAGAAAAATTCCCAAACTGTCGTCTTCATATAGAAAAGTATAAAATCAAATTTTTATTTTTGGAATTTCATCCACCGTAGATTATTCTTCACAAAATAATTTTAATATTAATTGATCTAGCCTGAAGCACGATATCAGTGTCGCAGAGAAATAAGTTATGAAACAACAACAAGATATCCATTTTGGAGATGGAAACTATTTGCACTTCGAACATTTTGTTGGCTTTCCAATGCAATTTATTTATTCTGTGTATGAAATAATTCATTTTAATCTATAATCTCTCTATTTGCTTAGTTACTATTTAGATTGTTATTCCATTTGCTAGTCCAGTTAGTTTTCGTGCTTTATTATCTCCAAAACCATTTATTGTGGGTTATAAATTGAATGAAAAAGATGTACGTAAACACAAAAAATGAAAATATTCCTTGATATTTTATCAAAATTGTTCTTGTTTTTTTATTTAGTTAAAACTTTATAAAGAAACATCTCCAATTACACAAACATTTATTTCACGCCTTGTTGCTCTTTGGAATAATGTAAGTTATTCAAGACAAAAGTTTGAACGAGCACCTGATAGAGGTATGTAGAAAAAAGAAAAAGAATTAAACTTGTAATATAGATGAGGAGCGACACTTAAATTGTAACAGTAGAATGCAGTATAGGAGAAAATAGGAATGATTTGCGAATAAATTCTTTTAACATTAATTATAAATGAAAAGTTAGGAGTATTTTTAATGACTTTTCTAAAAAGTTTCAAAACAAGATTCTTAAGTTCGCTTCTAAAGTATGAATCACAATCAAACTGAATAGTAAAATGAATTGTCTCGTCAAGAACACAAAAGTATCCATCAAATATGACCCAAAAGTCATGTACCCGAAAAAAATTGAATGTCTTCCGTACGGTTCGGTTAAATGGCGTCATTTTTCTACCAAAGATAGAGGCATGTTCACATTCCAAATCCATACGAACAATAGTTTGACTTCAACAAGAAATTTTACTTTTTCACAGATAAGAAAAAAAACAATATACTTAAGAAAGGTTCTCACCAAGCTTATCTTCAGATGAATTTGAAGGGTGAACATGCTTCTGTTCTTACAATGGAGATGTCTGTGTTGATAATCAAATAGATAGGACATATTCGGGTCAAACGAAAGCTCTCACTGCCAAACTCACAAGGTTAGAGCATGAGCGGCCATTGGCATGCGTGGAGGGAGATATTTAGAATTCAAGTTTAGGCATATAAATGAATCAGGAAAGGTTTTCTCCATTATTATAAGGACAAAACATCGTGTTGTTTAGGGTAATTATGAGGTTTGTAGGATCCGTCTTTCATATGGCCCGAACAATATCATGTTTTGTCCTTATAATAATGGAGAAAATCTTTCCTGATTCATTTTTATACCTAAACTTTAATTCTAAATATCTCCCTTCAGGCATGCCAAGAACCGTTAATATGTTAACCTTGTTAGTTTGGCGATGAGAGCTTTCGTTTGACCCGAATATGTCCTATCTGTTAGATTACCAATACAAACACTTCCATTGTTAGTAAAAAATATCAGATCATTTCGTCGAGCCGTAATGGAAATATTCAGTTTTCTTTTTCCGGAGCATGACTTTATAACCACCCTGTATGAGTATTATGAAGCACTATTTGTGAAAAAAAAAACTATCTATTCTTTTTTTAAATATCTCTTATTGCTAGAACTGAGAAGAAAGCTACTAAGTTGATAAAGATTCGACTGTTTGTTTTTCTGTATTTAGGATTATTGGGAAAGAATGTTCAAAGAATGTTCAATCGAGTTTGGAACTATGTAATAAAGGGTGGTCTAGGTACTGTGGCTACTTGTATCGTCTATCCAATAATCTGTTCAATTGTTCCAATCCTATCGTTTATATTAGGTGTACTCTCACCTATATGGTACATTCTATAGTTTAGCATGTTGTTTTTTGATTATCTATTTTTAGGTTACCAATACTAACATTATTATTTCATATAGTTGAAATTCTTATCTATGATGCGAATTCAGCTGGTACTAATCAATTAGTCTATTTTCTTTTTATTATAATTTTATTTAGGCGAATATGGTCGAAAATTTTTTTGTCTTATTAACATTATAATGACTAATTTTCTTCTTGGTGGTATAATACAACCAATATTAGCATTAGTTGGATTAATTGCTAGTCCAATAGCTTCTCTTTTAATTACTATTTGTAAGTTGTTTTAAAATTAAATATAATCTATATGAATTTTTAATCTATAATGTTAGATGCTTTGCTACATCGTGGCTTTCGTGGAGTTTATGATCAAATAAGCTATCATTTAATTGTGAAACGTTTGGCTCGAATTCCTGCACATGATACTTTTCTGGCACGACGCATAGCTGGCCCAGGTTTAGCAGCACAGTACTTTTATCAAGTTGCATCACCAGAAGTATTAGCAGCATTAGAATCGTTAATTGAACAAAAAGAATTAGAATTTTATCGTTCATATATTGAAAAAATTTTAAGAAAACCAATTCAAGAATATCAGTTTGTTGAATTATATTAAAACAAAAACAAAACGAAAGAAGATTTTCTTTTCGATTTTATTTAGAGAATTTTTTAATCAAGCATTTAAACCATTTTCAGGTCAAGTTAGCAAAATAGATAATAAATCAACTTATGGTCGAATGAATGATGTTGTTGATGAACATATTAAACAATTACGACGCACAATTGAAAAGTAATTTTTGTTAAATAGATTTATTTATTTATGCTAATTTTGATCTTATTTTTAAAAAAAAAGACGTCATAATCTCCTTCGAGTAGAACGTAGTACTCATCATGATCGCATTCGTTTAACAGAGACTGATTTAACAGTAAAATTTGAATTAATTTTGAATGAATAATATACGAAAATACATTTTTATAGGCTGTACTTGTTAAAGGAACAGAATTAGTAGAAAAATGGTATCCAAACCGAATACTTCCCTATTTAAATGAAACTGAACTTGAAAAATTTTGGCATGATCAAGATCTAGAACCAAATGATTGGTTTGGTAAGTAAATATCCAAGTTTTTTCTTTTAAATTTTCTAATTGACAATCGTTTTCTTTCTATAGGTCTAACAAGTAAATTACTTCAAGATTTATTTTGTCGAGATTTCTTAACACCTCTAGAACAAACCGATGCTTTTTATAGTCTAAAAGTATGTTATAATGATTAGACATTTATATGTGAAGTATATGGTTTTTTTAGGTTGATCATTTAACTTTATCAAAATATGCACAAATGATTCATTCAGCTAATATACATGATGATCTTGATGTTGTCACAAGTATCTACTTACCTGAAAGTAAGTCAATTCTATTTGATATCTAATAAGATTGATAACTCTATGTAGAAATAACTTCTGCGATGATTTCAGATTTGAATAGCATTATAGAGTATTTTTCATAATATTAATTATATTAGGCCTCTTACTCTTATCTATTTTTCGAATGAGAAATTTTCAAGAATAATATGATCAAGTTTAATTCGTCAATGTTTACAATTGAATGATAAAATGTATACAAAACAAAAGACTTGACTTAATGAATACTAAACTTAGAAATGAGATTATTCTTCTCTTTGAGAAAACACTTTGGTTTAAACTATCTAATTACACATCGAAATAATTTTATTGTGCATTTTTGTTAGTACTGATGTTTGCTAATCTAAAAACTTATCATATAAGTTTAATTTTTATCTTTTCTTTTGTAGAATCTAATAAACTATTTCAAAAGAAAAGGTACTTTTCAACCAGGATTTTACATAAAATGAAAACGTCGCAATATTCTCGAAATCAGAAAGTTTTAGAAAACTCAACATTTAGTTTATTATTTTCAATAAGAAAATTAGACGAATAGTCTATTTTTTTAAATTGCATTTCTCTTATCATTTATGAAATTCAGTTTATGAAGGAGGGTTCCAGAATGATAAATTGCTTTTAAGTTCGGACTATGTGCATCATGTGTGCCATAATGAGCTATGAATATTATGAAAAGGGTTCGGACTGATAGCTTGTTGTAATGAATATATTGAGGTTTTAAGGTATTTATTTGCTCGATGATTTGGTCTCACTTAGAGACACCATGAAATTGAATTTCGACTTGAAACTTTGCTCAGATACAAATCTCAATGAGAATAGTTTATGATGAAAATTTAAAATCTTTTTCTCGTCTAGATTCCAAGATATAACCATGATAAGACAACGTTTGTGAGATCGCTCATACACCAGTTAATTCTCATGCTTTTTTTTAGAATGGGAGAGTTAGAAAGAGCTGAAAATTTAACAGTAGACTATTCTCATAGAGATCTATATATAAGCAAAATTTGAATTCGAAATTCGAAATTCAGTTTTTCTAATGTTTCTCAAGTGGACCACAGTCGTGGGCTAAAGCAATACCAGTAGAAATGCGGTATTTCAACAGCAATAAACCATCAGCCCGAATCCTTTTTACAGTATTCGTAACTCGTTATGATGTACATGGTACATATAGTCTTGACTTAAAAGCGATTTTTCACTTGAAGATCTACCTTCCTTAGACATGCGCTGTAGTTTTCATTTCATAGAGAAATAACTATTTTGTTATCATATGCAAAATCAAAATAAACTATTGTTTAAAAATATTGTTATAATTTCAAAATTACTAACTGTTATTATAAATTTCAGGTTCATATTCATTAAGTTCTCCCACATTCAATCAAAATATACTCGATCCAAATCAATCTATTCTTGAAATATCAACAAATTATTCGTATGTTTACAAATAATATCGATTAAACTTCATTCTGTTAATCTATTGTTTCTTTTTCTTCTCTAGAAACAACCAGATGGTCGAAAATCATGGTCGTATATACAGATTTTTCTATCGTGAAAAAAATTATACAAAACCTGTTAAGGATTCATCAAGATTTGTTGATTATACATCAGCAACATGTCGTTTTTGTATACCAATTGGATTATCTGAAGTAGCTTTTATCAATATAATTATATTTAATCGCGATCATAATAATTCAACAACAACAGTATCGACTAAGAATATATCACCTAAAGATATGCGTCGACTAATTGAATTTAATAAAAAGCATTATAAAGAATCTTTGCTACCAATACATTCATCACACTTTGCATCATCTACTACAAATAATGATATGATAAATCACGATGTAGTTATGATTAATACTATATTAGACGAAAAATGATAATGAATTATAAAAATCATAGTACTTCTGTACTTGATAAAAAAAAACTATTGTATAGTCAAATGCAAAAGTTTAAGCGAAATTAGTTTTATGAATTATTTTGTTCAAAA